CCTCTTTGACCACTTACTACATCTTGTTTGGTTTTAATGTATCTACATCAGCTTTCTTTTGTTTAGTGTTTGCTATATATCTTATTCCATCCTTTTACTCTCTGTATCCCTATATCTAAAGTGTATCTCTTTTAAGGAAAATATAATTGGGTGTTTTGTTTTGTTTAATCCTAACAGTCTTTGTCTTCTAATTGGATTATATAGTCTATTTACATTAAGTGTAATTACTTTCTGCTGTCTGTCCTATGTTCATTTCTTCTCTTGTCCTCTTTTTGGCTGATTGTTTTTTCCCCTCTCTGTTTGCTTGGTCGTTATACGCACTTTATTCTTTTAGTGGCTACCCTAGTGGCATCTCTTCTTAACAAAGTCAGATGCTGCCTGGCAGTTTACTTTTCTCTCAGACTATGAAAGAACTTTGGAACACTATATACTTCTAATGTACGATTTCTGTTTGTCCAATTTGTTTTCATAGGATGGACTAAGTCGTGATCAGTGGTAGAATAATTACGGTCTCCATGAAGACATTAATTAGAACTGTGGTACTATAGTTGGCCAGGTCAGAAGCTAGATTTCTGGAGGAGTGTTGGATGAAATGCTTACCCTATCACTTATTTGGCTTTATCCCTACATGCACATTGTTTACTGATACAGTATTGACACTCACCAGAAAAGAGCACCTCCAGTTGCATCCAGGGACTGTGGGTGGGCAGCCCTGAGGGCTATTCTTAGATGCTGGTAAAGCTTTCAAGTTGAGTCACGTGTTCATGGTTACTAATCTGCCTCTGTACTAATTCTGTGCTGGTGACTCTAATCTGTGGGATACATACTTGTGTATTTAACATAGCCATCTGTGTGTAGCTTGCTTTTACTTCCATTATATTTTCTCATCACGTTTGATATTTTAAAAATTGTTAGAAAAAGTATATCCTTTTTCCAGTGACGTTTTTGGTCAGGTTTACCATAATTCATGGAGTGTAACTTTAGGTCCACAGTAGGTTTGCTTCTACTGTCTCATTTTATTGTTTGATTCCACTTGAAGTAACAGGGAGGAAATCGTGTGTGACTCACTCCATCATTGCTCTGTGCTTTCTGGAAATACTGTGTTCTGATTATCCATGATCAATTATAAATGAAAAAGTCTGTGTGCCTACACATTGAGCACCTGTTCTGTGCTACTCATGTCTGTTAATAGTCTCCATCTGGTTTCTCTAAATTTATACTGTGAATTGATGAAGAATTATCTAGTTGTCAGGGTGCCTGGTGGCTCAGTGAGTTGAGCTTCTGTTGATTTCCTCTCAGGTCATTACCTCACAGTTCATGAGATCAAGCCCCACATCAGGCTCTGCACTGATAGCACAGAGCCTGCTTGGGATTCTCTCCTTCTCTCTCTGCCCCTCCCCCGACTCACGCTGTCTTTTGCTCTCAAACTTTAAAAAAATGGGTTATCTAGTTGAAAATATATTAACAGTCCAACAACTAATCTGTATTTCAAATGAAAACTTTTATGTGTTCATACAAGTAATACTCTTTAATTTTAGTTATTTAACTTTTTAAATCCATTCAGTTTAAATTCGTATCTTTATATAGTATTGTCCAAATTATTGGACATGTTTATTCAAAGTTCCTAAAACTGATAGTGGACATCAACTTTTAGTTATGTCAAATTCATGATTTTGAAATATGTATATATGTGAATCCTTTAGTAATGCTATTTAAGAATATAATTTACTCAGACTGAGTCATATTACTGTACTTGGGTGTTTCTTCCCAGAATGTGTACTCAGAACCTAAAAGGGAAAAAGGAAATGGTTGATCAGTACATATGGTCTGTGATTTCTGGGACCAGCACATTGGTTCCTGTTTGGGTGTGTGTTTAGTTCTGCTCCATTAGAATCTGGGCTCTGCTCCACCCTCCTTTTCAAAACAATTTTTTTCTTCTCAAATATAATTTATGAAAAATTAGGTTACAGGGCTAAGAGTAAATAAACGTGTGCAATGCAACGTTTCAGACATAAAGGAACACTTGCTATATTTAAGAATAAACTTCTGTAGATTGAACATAAAGACTTTTCATTTTCTGTTTCAAGATACACTTTTGGCAGCTCTCATAATCACAGTAAAGATGTTTTCTAATCCTTCTTTGACCGAGGACTCCGTGGCTGCTGCTATAAAGTCAGCATTTAAATTCCACGAACTGTAAGGGACAGGAATAACCAGGATAAGGTCGGGTGTTCTGCTCCTGGCCACAGAGTGAATGGGCTGTTTCAGTGAGCCTTTCCACCCAGCTGCCTACAGGGAGAAAACCACGAGGTGGGAGGCACCTCAAGACCAAGCACCAGGTTCAGCAGTGCTGGCTTTCACAAGAGTGCCACACTAGCACAAGCTTTTGTTTTGGCAACATGCTTCTCAGAGATCCACATTATATACGGTTGTAGAGATAAAGTTCATGACCATATGAAAAAAAAATTGTGAGTGCTTTGATTCTAGCTTGAATCACACTGAGTGATTTAAGCACAATTATTTTTAGACTTTTTTAAAAAAGTAGATCTGACTTGCCAAGAATAGAGTGCTTAATTTTCAAATAATTGAAGTAGGGTTTTTTTTTTTTTTTGTTACTGTTTTTCATCTGTAGCCAAGAGTTATTTATGATTTTAAAATGGATGTGAAAGTAACTCAGACTATTTCAGTGTCTCAAATCACTAAATGATAAAATGACATTTAATATAATTATATTCTTGGGCATGTGAAGGCTTCCTTTGTGGTAACTCTGAATTATTTCATGTTGAACTTTAGGAGAACGTAATTATGGGAGAAATGAAGTCAATGTCATTAAGGATGGAGAGGAGGTATCTTGATAACTTGGTGTGGTGGGGATGCGGCTGGCTGTGTGTCTGCCCCCTCCCTTTGGTTCATCCAGCAGGCTGTTCTGTTAGAGGTTCCTAGAATCACAGGCTGCTTAGGGGCTTACGAGTTACCTATCTGTAACTTTGTAAGGTTTTGTCCTTACAGGAAATTCTCTGTCCCCACCACCTGCCATGGTTATCTTAAGCAGCATTGTCCACAGTGGCCTTCATGCTGAGGAGGTGGTTTATCTGGGATACCATGGGTGGGGGCCAGGGGAATGACATGTTACATCTGGTTTTGAGGGATCTCTGGCACCTGTGAGGAAGAAGATCCAGAAGAGAACAAGCTGGGAGTAAAGAGAAATGATGGGCAGGGGGACACTCCTAGTCCAACTGGTGGGTTTGAATGTGTTGCTGGGTGGCAGATTACGGTGACTCTTCCCCACTTGGCCTGGGACAGATGATTGAGTGCACATAGATTTCACATGTTATTTCCACTTATCTTCTCTCCACGGCAGGGAAGGGCCAGCACATTTGTTGCCCAAGGAAGCAAGATGAGTAAGGGGCATGATTTCACCCTAGAGGTTGGCCCAAGTGATGACACCACATGCACAAGGGACTGCATCTTTGTCATTGAGTGTGACACATGGGTGAATTGTCGACCCCTTGTGACTGGCTAGCTGGCAGCCAAGAGCTGGGGCTAGAGAATATGGGGTGAACTCACTTTTAGACATGTTGACCATGACGTACCTCCTGGGACATCCAGGTGGACAAACATGTTCAGGAAGGGATTGAATTTCTTTTTCTTTTTTTTTTCTTAAATTTTTTTAATGATTATTTATTTAGAGAATAAATAAATAAATGTGCATGAAAGCGTGCACAATTGGGGGAGGGGCAGAGATAGAGAATCCCAAGCAGGTTCCATGCTGTCAGTGCAAAGCTGGATGCTGGGCTCAATGTCATGAACCATGAGATCATGACCTGAGCCAGTATCAAGAATCAGATGCTCCACTGAATGAGCCACCCAGGTGCCCCCAGAAAAGGGTTGAATTGGGGGAAACCTAGACTGTTTGAGAGTCAGATGTCTTAAACTGTTTCGACAACAGGGCACTGTAGTGTCATTTGTGTAAAGGTGACAGCTGAAGTCATAGTCTAGTTGGTATTCTTTCTCTTTTCCCATATCCACCACAGTCTTAATTTAAATTCTCCTTCATCTACAGCCTTTCAGTTCACCCAAGGAATTCCTTTCTATCTATATCCACTGAACTGTAGGGGACCTACCCAGCACATTTTGTTTTTATTTAATATGGTCTGGTGGTTATTCCAGATGATTCCATATCTGCCAGGTCTTAGGTATCAGACCCATTTGGTTCCTATAGATAAATGAGCAGGGAGAGAGAGGCTCTTGTTCACCTTTATCAGAGTTGAAGAAATTCAACCGCTTCCTGAACACGTATGTCCCAGTAGGTACCTCACGGTCAACATGTCTATCACACTGCCTCAAACTGCCAGAGATGTGCTTTGCAAATCAAAAGATCATCCTGCTGCCTTTGGAGTAAGGCTCCTTAGTCCTGGAACATTCTCTTCTGTCCTATGACTGTACTTGTGTCAGAGACTTGGTGTAGTCCCGGGAGATACGAGGCAGAGCACTGTCCCTGCTGCATTTTCCCATGGCATTAATATTTTCCGAAAGGACACAAGAATGAGAGAAAAAATAACCTTTATCTTTTATGCCTGACAGATAATCAGATTACTCTGGGGATTAGATAAAAATAAGTCATTTGTTCCTATAGGTAGTTACTATAATGACCATGATAATCTTTTGTAAGTGAATTTAAAAATTAAATCAGATAAATAAGATTCCGCTTAGGGAGGGAATAAATATAGAAAGCATGATGTGAATTTGAAGACAAAAGTTGGCATTCTTTGGGTGAACAATGTTGTGGAGTGAGTTTGCGAGGGGCTGTGTCCCTCTGGAACCCACCCTGCCATGGGTGTGAAGTCAGTGTTTCTGACAGGCCACAGGGCCTGATGCTTCCAGGCATTGAGGGCAGTGATAGACTGTGCTTCATTCCATTACTTTACTTACTTTAATATCTTTACAAAATCTACCCAGTGACTCTCCCCCCTCCCCCCAACATCTGGTTTTATTCACAGGCCAAGTTCTCATAGAGATTTCAAGTACCCACAAGAAACTCAATGAGAGTCTTGATGAAAACGTATGTAAACTTTTGATACTTATAAAATATATTTATTTTACATTAAAAATTTGTTTTGCTTAAAGACTCAAAGCTGATGTGAATTTTTCATTTTCTTTTGTTAAAAGTTCAAAAAATTCCATAAAGAGATTATACATGAGCTGGAGAAGAAGACAGAACTTGATGTAAAATACATGAATGTGAGTACACAGTTTTGCTCCACCTCCGTGGGTGGAGGTAGGTGTGGGGCACGGGGGCCTGGCTTTCCCAGGAGGCTATGCTTGCCTGGTCTCTAAGCCCTAGGAGAACTTTCTCTCACTGTCTATCCAGCAGCAGCAAATACGGATAGAGGTTAGTATTGAGTATATACACAGATGCATGAAATAGACAAGGTGCCTTCCAGGGCTCCATTTGCATTAACACCTGGGATCTTTATTAAAAAGCATAGAGGAAAATATTGCAAGGAATCCTGCTTCTAGAAAGCATTGTTTTCAAAGTACACACACATGGGGATGGCATCTGCATCTGTATTAGTACAGCTGTTGCTTTCACAAACCAGCACTTGAGGACGTGAGATGTGCTTGGTGTTCTCCCAGTCATCACAGACTGCTCCTGCATGGTGTCCCTTGCCTGTCACCCGGTATTGATGATTCCAGCAGTTTTCTCCGTCTGCCTGACCCTCCACACACAGGGCTCTTTCCCCCTCCCTTACCTGCTGTAGAGTAGCTACTTTCTTTGCCACCCAAAGCCCCTTTCTCACCAAGACCCCATGTGGCAGTAAGCAGTGTAGGTTACCTGAAATCGCCCTGCTGCCCCTGTGTGCACTCTGGAGGGACCTCCAAAAGCTGCTGAGGTAGATGTAATGGCAAGCATTTTCCATACATTATCTGATGTTTATCCCTATAGAAACTCTTTATGTAGATACTCTTCTTATCCTCACTGTACAGATTAAAGGGAGAACATGAGTTTTAGAGAAATTAAATAATTACTGAGATCACACAGGAAATGAAGGATGATGCCAGAATTCTGACCTAGTTCTATTAGGCTCCCCAAACACTTCGCTACACAGCACCCAAAATAATTGGTTGTGATTGCAATTGTTAATTTTGTTTCTTAAAACTGTAAATCATAAAACAGTCAGGAACATTAAATTGTTTTTTATTCCCCAAAGTACTTACCACTCAGTGTTCTAAAACATTGGAGAAAACAAGAAAGAAGAGACATTGTTATCCTATAGGAGCTGCCCTTGTGGTCAGTGGCCCTTTCTGTGAATGGGGAACTTGAGGACAAAGTCACACGTTGAAGTGGAAGGGAGGCAACGGGTGTGCAGGGCCACGTCCAGTGGAAATATTGGCAGCAGTAACTGCCCAACAGTTTGTATGGTGCTACACTAAAACAAGCACAACATTTCACTTACAGGCAACTCTTAAAAGATACCAAACAGAACACAGGAATAAATTAGATTCTTTGGAGAAATCTCAAGCAGAGTTGAAGAAGATCAGAAGGAAAAGTCAAGGAGGACGAAATGCGCTCAAATATGAACACAAAGAAATTGAGGTGAACTTTTCAGCACTTTTTTCTTTATTTTGTTGTTGATGATTTGTGCAGTTTACAGGGAAGCTTACTTACCTCACTCAGCGTATACTTTCATCTGCTCACTGCTCTGCTGCTGTTGAAGCTTATGAGCATTTTTGAGTTGGTATTGAGCTTAAGGCCACAGTTTTCCAGAGTCGAGGATAATTAGTAGCCTCCTAAGAACATGGGCATTTTTTCCCGATTCAGGGTGGTTAGCATTACTATCCCCATTTTACAGATGAAGAAAATGAGGCTTAGGCTAAGTCACATGGTTGATACTTAGAACTGTGGTTTGAATTCGAAGTTTCTGGTTCTAAAGCCGTTGATTTTCCAACAGAACACAATCCTGTCCCTGAAACATAAAGTAATATTTTGTGTAAATTGCCCAGCACAGAGTGGAAGGCTTTTGGCAACGTTCTTCTGCACATGAGTCAGGGATCTTAATGAGAATGATAATACCTGCTCAGATCAGGCTACAACTTTGTTATTTTATCTAATGTTTATCTGCATTTAGTATTTATTCCATTATCAAAATAAACCAAGTGTAAAGATGGTGGAAGATAAACGTCTGGCTGTGCAGCTCTGATCCCTCATGTCATATTTGTGTAATTATTATTTATTTTCCTAGTATGTAGAAACCGTTACTTCTCGCCAGAGCGACATCCAGAAATTTATTGCAGATGGGTGCAAAGAAGCCCTGCTTGAAGAGAAAAGGCGCTTCTGCTTTCTGGTTGACAAACACTGTAGCTTTGCAAATCACTTACATTATTATCATTTACAGGTGGGTTCAGGTGGCAAGTTGTGTTGCATTATTAATAATTTCATATTCAAATGTCCTAGAAATTACTTACCGTCCATATGTGCCTCAGTGTAAAGTGATGGACCTATTTTGCCAATGAGAAGACTCCAAAGAAATAGTTTTGGCCAACTTGAATATGTAAACTTTCAGAAACGTGGATGAAATGGTCAAATGTTGATTATAATATTTAAGTAATATATCCATATTTAAAATATTTCATAAAATGCTTAATAATTGAGAAACAGCACTTTTTCTTTTCTCACCTATGAGTCTGCTTTCCTCAGACTCTCTCTGATGCATCCTCAGCATCAGTGTCCTCACCAGAGCCGTGGGATGGGTCCCAGTGGGCCCCAAGTCCAGCCCACCTGGGTGGTTTGAGATATTCACCTTGGGAGTCCATGTACAGAAGTGTCCCTGGAAGTTCTGTCCCAGCATCGAGACAGTTGTTGTGGTTACTTTTTTTATCCTCCTCAAGGTGTTTCCTCGTGATCTCATCAACTGAATGACTGGCTTTACGGCCCTGCTTCCAGCACACATAGTTTTGAGGTTATGCCCCCAGAAAGCATTACAAAATATGTGTTATTTCCCTTTCCCTTCTTTTTAAATTATAAATTTTATTGGGCCTGTGTAAGCATCCAAAACTAGCATTGAGTGAAGTCAAATATTCATTGTTATTTGTAATGTAATTTAGAGATTGCTCCATGGTAGAAGCTTTGTAAGCACTTGCATATAAGGCAACGTCCTCTTTTTCGGGGGAAACAACTTGGCCCTATCTGTATGCATCAGGCAAATGTTACATATTTTATAAAGTGTTTGCAACTTTAAGGACTATTCATCTACCAAATCTAAATTCCTAAGATCTAACATTGTTACAAGAAAGAATTGCAGTATTAGATGATCACTTTTGTCAACAGTGCATCTGTACTAGTTTTGGCAGAGTCATTTTCCATGGTGAGGGTGCCCTGCTGGGCCAGGGTCAATAGGCCAAGTGACCGTGAAGCTCTCTTCCTACAGCAAAGCCTTGCCACTGAAGGGATACTCACTGTGACACAAGGCAACCTGGCCTGTTTCCAGAGAGCTCTAGTTGGTGGCAGACTCTTTCTTACGGTTAACTTTGGATCCCAGCTATGCTTTGTAGCATAAACTAAGTCTACTTCTTTTCTCTATTGGAAGTCACATCACCTTTCTGAAAACTGCTCTTGTGCCTTCCCTTTTCCTGGCTTCCGTGTCCCAGTCCTTTCAGGGGCTCCTTGGATAAAGCAGGCCCAAGCAGTTGGTGTGTCAGGGTTACAGTCTGAGGGCATAGAAGGGTTGGGGTGAGGGCTTTGCCCTCTCTCAGGAGTAATAGGAAGAAAGCACTGATTGGCATTTCTGAGACCACTGGGGAAACAGTAGGGCTTAATAAGATTGCTCAAGCCTCCCTTTTGGTGTTTGAGCTTGTTCTTCATCATTTACAATTCTTGTAGTAGTCTTAAACTCTGCATTCATGCTGTGGGAATGGAGAAGCTCCTGTAGAAAAGGAGCCTAATCTTTCTCAGCCAGTAACCCAGGGCAGATGCTCAGAGATGGTTAAATGTTCACTGGATTTAACACAATGTCTCAGACTTGTGGTAGTAAGTCAGTAAAACATTATCACTGATAGTTGATGTAACTTTTCTCAGCTCTTTGAGCAATACATGTTTGTGTTTAGTTGTGTTTCTTTTGGATTTATAGTCTGCAGAATTACTCAATTCCAAACTGCCTAGGTGGCAGGAGACCTGTGGGGATGCTACCAAAGTACCTGAGAAAATCATGAATATGATAGAAGAAATTAAGACCCCAGTCTCTACCCCAGTGTCTGGAACACCTCAGCCTTCACCAATGATCGAGAGAAGCAACATGGTAGGAACTGGTTTTCTCCCCAAGATTTCACATTTACTAATACGATTTGGGCCAAATTTGCACGGAGGACCAAGGCTTTTGTTAGTGGGAATCACAGGTCTTCCTTTATTCTAGGGCCTGCCTTTTCTCACTTCTATCCCCTTGCCTTCAGATTTGACACCGGCTGTGCAATGGTTAGCAGCATGTAGTGCTGTGGATACCACTGTTATCTTTGTTTTGGAAATGTTATTGTTACTGTTTTTAATTGTAATGATTCAAAATTTGTACGTTTATTCGTAGTGAAGGAAGTGTAGGTGTCTTAGAGAATAATTAGCAAAACTCTGGTGCCATTCATCACAACATAATCTGGTACTGGAAAAAAAAATATGGCCACCCCAGTATTCAAGGTAATGCAGTCAAGCATTGTAGTTTGCTGTTCTTTGAACCCGGGTTTTAGTACTTTGTGCAGACGTGTGGAGATTTGTTTCCAGTGAGTAGTTTGGATACATGAGTCCACCCTAACCTCTGAAATGATAGCAGAGATGCTAAAGACCAGTCAGCAGCCTACAGAATAGATCCATAACTGCATGGGGAATAAGAGAAGCTGCTGTCAGTGGGCCAACAACCCTGAAGGAGTCTAAAAGAAAGGCAAGATCAGTGTGTGGAGAATCAAAAGAGAAGGAAACCTTAGCTCTGAGCATGTGCAGGGCAAGACTGCCGCAGAGGGCGGAGCAGTAAGCTCAGAGTCAATGGTTTGCAAGAAGCGGTGGAGAACCCAGGACATTACATTCCTGTATGATTCGCATCCTCTATGTTGGTCGGTTTCTTCCCCACTGTCTCACTTGCGCTGAATGTCCCACTTGCGCTGAATGAACAGTAGGCAACAGGGACTTTGGTCTACTGGCCAAAGCACCATGTTTTCACTCAGAGGTCATGCATGCTCCTAGAAGTATCTTCCCTGTCCTCTACCCCACTGTAGGTAGCCTGTGATAAGGAGAACAGGCAAAATCCATACTACCATAAAGAGTGAAAAGAATAGAGAATGCCGTAAGATACCAAGATGGACAGATAACCAGGAATCACTGAGCAAGTAAGGAAAACCAATGCCATAAAAAGATACACCAAAAGAAACAAAAACCAGAATGGCCAATATTGGAGGCAACAGAGGAAACAGTGGAGGAGAAATCTTAAGAAAGAGATGAAAAGATATTACATCCCCAGGGAAAAATCAACTAGAGATTTTGGAAAGTAAAAATTGGATTATTATTTATAATTGAAATGTCTGGGATTTGCTTCAGCATAATCCAGGCATGGGGGAAGATGGGTGTGGCGTATATGAAACAATAGTGGCCATGAATTTGTAACTGTTGAAGCTGGGTGTTGGGTACATCAAGATTTATTGTGCTCTTCTTCCTACTTTTGTACTTGCTTGAAATTCTTCTAAAATAGGTTTTTAAATTTCTCCCTCCCCTTCCTCCCTCCACAAAAAAAACAAACAAGAAAACCCCACACCAGTAGACGGGCTTGTTAGCAGAATGGAACTGCTTAGAAAATTAAGCCAAAGAGCTCTCCCAAAATGCCAAACAAAAACAGAGGATGTAAAGTTAATGTTAGACAGGTTGGAGATACCCAGTTGCCTTCTTAGAATCACCAGATGTCTAATGGGGATCTCAAATTCAGCTTGTCCAAAACCACACGATTGATTTTCTCACTCTAAACATGCTTCTCCAGTCTTTTCCATCCAGGAAATGGCAGCTCCATCCTTTCAGTAGCTCAGGCACAAATGTGGACTCCGCCTTCCCTCTCTCTCCCCCTCCCCCTCCCCAGTCACAGCCAACCCACAGGCATGCCCTGTTGTTTCCACCTTCCAGGTATATTCAAGGCCAGCCACTTCTCCCCCTCTGCTGCCCTGACTATGGTCCCTGCAGAAGTTACTGCAGTAGACCCTGCCTGCTCTTTAACACTGAGTGAGTGAGCCTGGACAAGAGGAAAAAACCAAACCTCAATAGATCGTGGTCAAGTTGCAGAAAGAGGCAAAGAGAAAATTCTAAGAATTTCCTGGAGGGGGGAAAATAAATTACTCACAAAGAAAAGAGAACACTAATGGTACCAGATTTCTTGTTACCAAAACAAGATGTTAGAAATTAAAGGAGCAATGCACTCAAAATTCTTTGGAAAAATTATTTTAAGTGTAGAATTCTGTAGCCAAGAAGACAAATCCTATAGACCTAGAGAGGACCCTAAAATCCATAGAGACAGAAAGTAGATTAGTGGTTGCCAGGGGATGTGGGAAATGGGGAGTAATTGCCTTAAAAAAAAAGACAAAATGAAGAAAAGAATGTGATAATCTTGAAATAATTCAGAATAGGGCATTACCACCCAACTAAGAGAATTTGGGGAAGAAAGTGGAATTTAAAACATGTTCCAACAGCCCTGGAAATCTCTGTAAGTCCATTGCTGTGTTACACTAATATTAAACTAATAAGGAATTTTTCACAGGTTGGGAAAGATTATGACACCCTTTCTAAATATTCACCAAAGGTGCCCCCAGCTCCTTCAGCCAGAGCGTATACCAGTCCTTTGATTGATATGTTTAATAACCCAACAGCAGTTGCACAGAATTCAGAAAGGATAAAGAATTCAACAGGTAAGATATTTATTTTGATTTCTTTTTAAATACCTTTTTTTTTTTTTTT